CTCTTGCTTTTGTGTTGCTGCACTTCTTTTGCTGAAAATGACTCTGGAGGACAAAATAAATTGACTGACTGGTACATGACAACAACTGCTGCTAAGTCCAATGCAAAACAGGTAATTTCAAAGCAACATAGATGCTTCATGTTCTTCTGTGAAACACACACGCATGGATCCACATCCCAGACTGCATTATGGGAGCTTAGCTGAGACTTGTCAACTACTAATCTTGATTTGGCAAAAAATCAACTGTGGGACAGGTTGATACCTTGTTACTAACTCTGTGTGTGTGTGTGTGTACTGTACACGGTAGGACCTCACGTTAACATACAGCTCGACCCCACAGTTAGAGCCTGAGGAGCACTTCACATTAGGTTATGTAACCGTCTGATGGACGCAAACGCCTTCGGCAGGGGAAGCATCTTTGGACAATGAGACGAAATCAATGTGGGCAACAAAGTCAGGTCACGTTCATTCATTTTGCTCATTCATACTTACGACCAATCTGCTTTTAACAGCAGATTATGGAATACTTGTAACGACATTTGTAACGGTAGTGGCGATGACTTGAGTGTGTCTAACACTTGTGTCTACTATATAGAGGGACGTTTTACAGATGAAAAAACAGACGTGTCAGTGCTCTCTGTGTCTCGTGATTGTCAAATGTGACGGAGAACCAAAGGAAAGTAAACAAGCTCCTGCATCATACAGCCGCAGTTAAACTAAAACTTGTGGCACGGATGAAGAATGAACGAAACTCTCACAAAAACCTTTAAGAACTACAAGAAGTCTGTTTCTGCGCAACACACACACACACACACACACACACACTTCTCACATTATTATCTCTCTCTCTCTCTCTCTCTATAGACATATATATATATACATACTAACGTATTCACACACAAGAAACACACACCCTCCAACAACACCGACAGTCCAGTTCTTCCTCAGACACTTTACCTGTCATCATCTTCAGTTGCAGCCACAGTCTGGTGATATCGTGGCAGAGTAGAGACACTCGGTTTAGAGCCATTGTTTTTGCCGGTACATGTATGCCCCCCTGACACACATGCACACACACACGCACACAGTTAAAACACACTCACACACAGCCGCATATTCTGCCAGAGCACATCGCGGCGGAAGTTCAGGCAGTCCATTCCACCGTGGCAGACGACTTCAGCCGCTTACTGAGCTGTCAGTGCATCAGCGCAGCCCACACACACACACAGCTCCCCCCCCCCACCCCATCTGTACCAGCCAGCGAGGCGGAGTTTCACATGATCCGCCTCCAGTTTCACATGTCAGTGTTTTCACTGAAAGGCTTCAGCAACTGCTAATAAATAATGATCATCATCCTCCTTATGAATAATCTCTGCAGTGTTGCTATTTAGTTGATGAATTTGATTTCTGCATTAATACATTTATTTGTTTTGAACATTGTGCTGTATGAAAGATGGTCTAAATTAGCTGCGTTTGAACGCACCGAGCTGGCAGAGTAGTGAAATAAAAGTTCAAACTTCAGCTAAAGTCAACACAAAGTGTGTACTCATGGTGCCAGAGGGAACGGAAGCCTCTTTCGCTCTGCTTTTCTCACACAGACACAAAACATACACACACACACAATGCCAGTGAAGACAGCAGGGGGACCCAGTGTGCCACACTAACACATTCTCTCACACAGAGATGCAGTGAGAAGCTGGACTGGTGAAAACGTGAATAGACCCCTCAGGAACTCAATTCATAAAATGCTTTTGTGCTCAGGAAAACACACATTTTTAAACTGTTGCTCGTTCTCCTTCACATGAACAAGGGATACAGTAACTCCTCACATTTGATTTTCTCACGAGGCCATCAGTTCTGCTTGTATCTTCCCGACCTGCCCCAAATCATCATCTCACTTAACTGTTGATACTGGGATATGTCAAAAACTTTGACATTTAAGACACACGGGGTGCGGTTGCTTTCCGTTTGTCTGTTCACCGCGGCAGGATAGTCCGGTCGGTGTGCTCTGGAATTAGCACTTCACCCAAAATAAATTCAAATGCATTCATCATTAGGGGTCAACATTTAAGTAACTATGGACTAAGATATGGGGTCATGGTGGCAGAAATTGTAGAAGGACTGAGATTAGAACACAGGGAGATGAAAAACAATGCATGTGTGAGATTAAGAGTTAGATTAAAGATGGATCTCTCAGTCTAGTCTGAGATAAGATTATCAATAAATGAAGGGATTCAACAGTTTGAGCCGACGGGATTTAAAAAGATGTGACAATGGAGGTCGGTTAGCGTGTTGTCACAGAGTTGTGTGAAAAAGCAGCACCGACTGCGTGTGTGTTTACCTCCTGTCAGATTTAGATGATAGAGCACGTTGGCTGTGCGACAGGAAAAGCCAGAGGCTTTATAATGGTTCATTTCCTGTCTCCGCTGCCTTATGCTCCAGCAGCTCTGACGGCAGCCATTTTCACCCACGGGTGGCTGATTTACAGTCACACCCTGAACACTCAAATTTATTTTGGTACACTACAAGTGTCAAAAATGAGCTGCTTTAAGACACTTTGTGCATTGTCTTATGTATGTGGGAATCATCACGACTGATGATCTCAACAGTAGAAACCAGCCACAAAATAAACTTTATCGTGATCTTATCTTATGACAGGCTCGTCATCATCCGACAGGTCATTCGTGGACTTCATTTGTTCAACAATAAACGGTGTGTGTTAGTGCGTCAGTTAATACGACACATGCGAAGCCTCTAACATCAACGGGACATCCGAGTGTGTTTACATGGGATGCAGAGCAGACTTCAGAGTGTGTGTGTGTGTGCGTGAGTGCGTGCGTGCGTGTGTGTGTGTACGGGATGTAAAGGAGACCCGAGTGTGTGAGGGATGTGGTGCAGACTACAGCTAGAATAACTCCCAGCTCGATTATTTATTTGAGACCAAAAGATCAAACACGATTGGCCGGCCGGAGCGTAAACAGGAAGAGACCAATTGAGAAGTGACTCACAGGCCCGAAACAAGCAGCAGAGGAGAAGAAAAGGTGTGAAGGGTTTGAATCAGCAATTAACTGGCTGGAAACCAGTTACAATGTCTGAAAGATACAATGAAGAGCAGGACAGTAAAGAGAAGTGTGAGAGCAGAAAAACAACGAGCAGAAAACTCAAACAAATGTTGTGGGAGAAAAGAGAATCTACAAGCGATTATGAGCTATTTTTATCAAAAAATCAAACAGTTATGATAATCTAACTGTGCATGCATCATCATAATCACCACCAACTGTGGCTGACTGGTTTGGAGAAGGGAAGTCAATCAAACAAAGACCACAGCCAGGCGCCTTTGTTACATGTGATATCTTCCTCTTCCCCCTATTTCTATCCTGTCAAATAAAACACTGACCACATTTAAACTCATGCTTTATGCATGCGACAGATCTGTCACAAGTATTTTTTTAGATGCAACTGTCATCCGGGGAGTCATTAAAGTTCTAATAAACCCCAATGAAACAAATTCAACGCAACAGGGATCCTCTGTTGTGGGTCTACCGTCCATGTTTTGCTACGACGGCTCAAATCCGGCTCACAGAACCTCCAATAAATCCCCGATCAGGAGGACGACGATAAACAAGAGGGAGAGGAGAGTGTGTGTCGAAGGGTCGGGGTCAGTCAACAACCACTCAGATGATGAGCAGGGATTTTTATCTTAAAAAAGGTCAGCAGGTGTCAAACAGGTCAAAGAAACAAAGAGCATGCTGCAAGAGGGATTTCACGGGAAAGACGATCATGAGAATACCTGTGAAAAAGGAAGTTTTGACACAAGGGGGGAGCCTATGTCACGATGGATCAGCATTCAGGAAAACACCAGAGGAAGTTACAGCAGCTGACCAAAACCACGGCTTTAAAGATTTACAAGACAAATCTGCGCAAGTATCTCAGCTCGCGTCTTAGCGTCCACATTTCACACCCCAAAACAGGCAAGTCGTGGGAATGTGAGTCGATGAAGCAACAGCAAGGAGGAAACTAAGATCAAGAGCAAAAAACAACGCAGCACCTGTCTCCGTGACACAGAATTTGTAGAACAGCTCTTGCTAAAAATACACACGTCATCTCTAAATACAGACCAAAGCCAACAGGAAACGGACCAGGATAGCTGAATCGTCACCGATCTAAAAACCATCAAGCACACACTGCAAGTCTTCAGACACCTGGGAGTCTGCCCGATCGATGGAGCACAAATACTGTCTCACACGCACACAGGCTCTCAGATAATTAAGCCAACTTTTATTGAACCTCCTTGAGTAAATAAGGATGTAGTATATTACTCTTGTTCACATGTACATTGTTCTCCTTTGAGGCCACAGGAGACATTTATCAGGGGCAGAAATAAAGTCGGTATGTTTTCTTGTCCAGCTTTAAATCTTTACATAATATGAAAATAACATGAAATGAACAGCTGTGCATGACTGACTGTGTTGTCAAGCAGCTCCACTCAAACTCCAAAGAAGAGAAAACTAACTCTCTCCACGGCCATTGAATCAATTACTAATCACCCTTTGTAGAAACGCCTTGAAGACAGAATGCATTATCTGTACCGTCGTTACCCCGCTGACTATGCAAGCACATGAATTCAAAAGTCAGCGAACGCAGCAGTTTATTGCATTTTTCATTTATTTTCAATTTGTGATTGCGATGAACGCTTCCTCTTCACGATAGAAGAGCAGAGACGGTCTTGTTGAAGGATACAAACATGAATTGGTGCTTTTCTGAAGGTTTAAGGGTGTATATGTCACGCTTGCAGCTCCTGCTGTTGTCCTCATGGAGGACTTTTCATGAGGGTATTGGAATAATATACATGTAATTATCATGTGGCAATCAAATGCAAGAGATTATGCTACCTACAAAACATCATGATATTGACTTAAGAGTTCCGTCTTCCCCTCCCTAAAGAAACCACATTTTCCATCCCAACTTGAGCCCTCCACACACACACAAAAAAAACTCACAATGCAGCCGTTGACAGCACTGGGTGCATCTGTAGTAGCTCTCCATCTCCTCCACAGAGATGCGGACAAACCTCTCTCCTGCATGTTCCTCTCTCCTGTCTGTGCGTTCCTTCATCGCGTCCCTCCGTCTGCTCTCCTCTTCCTCCCTCAGCGACAGAGACAGAAGAGCATCGCCCGCCTCATCCTGCTCTCCTCATTTGTACTTCCACTCCCTCCCCGTCTGTCTCTCTTGCGCACACACATACACACACCTGTGAGAGTTATGGAGCGATTATACCGCTCCTCTTTCCTCCGCCCCTCCCTGCTGCTGTGCATCTCTGTATACCTTTACCTGAGCGAGACACTCAGAATACATGCCGATAAATAATCACTTGCACTGCATTTTTCCTCGTCAGTTGCCAAAGACACCACTAATTTCATGTAGTGCTGTCTCCTTTAAAATCCTTTCAAAATAAGACTATTTTAAAACAAGACCATTGACGCTGCAGATAAGAGTTGTATATATTAAAGGGTTCATAGTCCAGCAAGGAACTGGTTGTCAGTGTCTCTAACTTCCTGCCTTAAACTGAAAGCTTTTAATCTACAGCACACCTACACAAACTAGTATTCTGGTGACAACCTTGATATCAGACCTACGCTGGTTTGCATGGTTTGTCAGCACAGACTGTGAAATTTTAGCTACAACTATGAAGTTCTCAGCATCATCGGTGGCAGCACATGTGAATCAGCTACACGCCCAAAGTCAGATGTCTTTGTAACGCATAAAGAGCCGAAAAGGATTACAGTGTTTGTATAGAAAAGCTGCGACACAAAATCATCCTCCCATAATGTCTACAAACCAAGAGGACTCCTCTGACCTGTCTAGCTCCTGAGAAAGTTGTTCATGTGGACAAGTATTGATAAGGCTGTGCCGCGTGACTAACAAGGGAATTTTTGTTCCCAATCGATGCATTTTAACCGACTAAACTTGCCCCGCGACCCTTGAAGTGACTTCTTTCCAGAGGCCGACCGGTGAACACTCACCTCGTCTGCTTGTCTGCGTGTATTTGCGATTCCGTTTCCTTTCTGCTGGTTGACGGACGCAGCAAAGGTTGGCCGGCATGATGAAGACCAACACCAGTCCGCTTGTCTTTCTAATCAGTTTCTGTTTACCCGTCTGTGAGCAAACATTTCTGCTGCTGGTGTATTGAGACATGCTGTGAGTTATCAATTAGCCACTCACAAAGTATATATCAGGTAATCAGTTACAGAGGTCAAACACCAAAGAGGGCAGCGTTCAAAGATTTACACTCTGTATAAAGTGACAGCTAGTGCCTCTGCCGGTCTCCTCAGTCTGCACATTAAGGAATACGACAACATGTTGGGAAGTGCAGTGCATTCTTTTTACCGTTTACTGGATGTTAGATGAGAATATTGACGACTTCATACAACACAGACACTGGTCCTAAAGGCCTAGCTTAGCACAAAGACTTGAAGCAGGAAGACAGTTAGTTTAGCTCCCTTCAAGTGCCTTTCGACAGCTCCAATGCCGTCATATTTACATGTTGTATGTATGAATGTATAGCATATGCAAATACACATCACAAATTCACAACTCTACTCGCAAGCGTCATGAGAACAACTCACTATTGTGCCACGTGAGGACAATCCTGGTATACTGATTGGGGATAAAGTTGTTTTAGGGGTAGGTCCCTGAACTTGACACTTACTGTAAACCGCACCTCAAATAATATGTATTGATAATATCTAGAGTGAGAAGTACATGTAACATTGTGTGTGGCATTTCATGTTATTGTTCCCTATGGTCAAATTTCAAGCCACTTAAACTACCGCAGACATACTGCAGCATCGGCAGTAAACCACAGAGTAAGTTCCTCTATTATGTTTGAATAATAAGGGGAGAAACACGGCAGAGAGGAAATCCTGTCCCGTCATCCTGTCACATTGATTTTAAAATAACAGACACTACTGACCAGAACGTTCTGTGACGCGTAACACAAAATATGAAGCGAAACCTTTAACCATCAGCGCCGACAGACTAACACCAACCTGTTGGTCCACAGCTCCTGCGGGTCAACAGACCGATGGACGCGGACAGGTCGTGAAGCAGTCCACTCAACACCCCTCGGCCCTCTTGAACTAACTCCAGCAGAGACATCGTCACATCACAGCAGCTTTCATACTACGTCTGAGAGCTTGTTCTTCAAGCCGCCCGCCTCTCCTCCTCCTCGATGGAGCCGCTGCGTTTGCTCTTGTGAACGGGCAATTGTTTATCTCACTTCGTGTCTGCTCTGTGTTTATCGCAGGAAGAGAGGGGCGGAGGGATGACATCAACCCCTCTACAGCTAATTATACAAACTTAGCAGATATGTGTGTGTGTGTGATTTGGACTGTTCGCCCAGGGTACTAAAGTACACTAAAAACAGATACAACCACCTTGTTTTTTTTGTTTAATTTCCAACTTAAAAGCGCATCAACACATTCTCTGGTGTCAGAATTAATCAATAATGTGTTTTTTTCTTCTCCAAGATAAATAAAGTGTCAACTATCCCATATTATCTTCCCAATAACACCTACCAACTCACTTTGTCCTTATGAGGAAACTGGTGATGGATTTTTTTCATCAACAGATGATACCAAAAGTTGCACAAGGCTACGTTTTAACACCATGAATGATGATATTATACACTATTTAATGTGACATCGAACACGTGGGCAGCTATTAAAAAGGTCTGAAAGCCGGGAACAAGAAACCAGAATGCTGTTTTTGGACTTTAGACTTTTTTTGGAGCGTTTATACAAGAGACGGGGAGAAAACAAAGATCGGTGCCATCCGTAAAGCTAAATCGTATTATCTGTATTCCACCTAATTCATCATCACACAAATATTCCCAATTTGAAGTTCAAAAGGTAGTAAGCGGTGGTGGTCATACACTTTTCATTATGTGGCATTCATTAGATTTATCAATCAATCAAGAAGGCCGAAAAATCAAAACCTATGCCCTCCTTATCTGGAACGGCTGCAAAACGAATCACACCGACGACAAAACTCAATTATTCGGACTTGTTCTTGGTAAAGCACATTCTGGCATGATTTACAATAGTTAATACTGGTCATAGTATTTGATACATTATATTATAATTAGACTGGTACTATTTATATCTGTCTTTTAAACAACAACGTCACAAAGAGACACCAATGAAATAAAGGGGCTTACATGCAACCTGTCGCTCTCTGCCTGAAGAACATGATGCACAAGGTACAACTGTGTTCACTGTCTAAGTTCAGTGTGTGACAAGTCTTCTACTATCTGTGCACATATAGGGCGATAAAGTGACAAGTTACTGCAGGGATCCCTACCACTGATTGTCGACAGCACCTCCAGCGTTTCGTCCAAGTCGTCCGGTACCGACAGCTTCTCTCCCATCTTTGCCCCGGGACACAATAGCTCAGCACACTTTCTTCTTCACATGGACTTCGCAGGTTCCTAAAAGATACCAAACATTACTCGAACAGCAACGAGAAGAGGGAATACTGAATGGTGACCAGCAGTAGACTCGGGTGAAGGAACACAGAGGGAATAATGGGAACAGAAAGAGACTGATGCACTGTCCATTTAATTTGGTCAGCAGTGTACAGAGAGGGAGGGAGGAAGGAAGGAAAACACACAGGACACTTTCGCAATTGCGTAACAAATAACAACATCCATGCCTCTGTGCACCAAACAGGGGTGTTAACAACATTACTGGCGCTAATTTAATCTGTGCCAACATCTGCTGAATGATCCAAGTTAAAGACCCAATTAGCAGATGTTTTTTTAACTAACTGTTGCAGATATATTCACATATAATGGCACCATTTTATTTATTTTTCAACTAATTGTAATTCTAGCACTAATGGATAGTTTCAGTCAATAAAAAACAGACTCTCACACACACATCTGATGACTTCTGGTAGATCAAGCGAAGCAAATGCATTCAATTATCCATTAAATTACCAGTTTCCCTACAGTGGCTCCTTTCATTTCTTTGACAATAGAGCAGCATGCCCTGAGTCATATGGACACAGATCTTGTGACGTGGTGATATGCCAGGCTAAATAAAGGCCGAGGCTAGTCCCACATGCAATACAATGTGACACTTCCACCGGCCAACAGACATGGCCTTGGGGATGTCATGAAGAGCACATGGAAATAAAAGAGTCAACAGATTTCCAGTGCTTTGGTGTTTTCCGAGGAAAAACTCACACACTGACTTTCAGTTTCAACCAAATGTTCCAACCAATACAAATGTTTGTCTTCAGTACGAACTGCACATCTGCATGTAAAGGATTAAAGAGACAAAACACCAAATTAGTTCCAAATTACATGATTTGTATTAGATATACAGGAAAAATAGTTCACCAAACTTTTTCATTTGATCTGACACCCAGTTTTAAGGAATGATTGCACTGCATGCAATGGTTTGGACATTGAGATTGATGCATAACTCACATTAAATTAAATTTTGTTAGTGACAAGTAAAGAGCCCATGAGGGCCAAACACCCCTGTTCACACTGACAGCCGCAGATAGGCTCATTGTGCTGTATTAAACCTCCATGTTTTGTTTCATTTGTCGTCAATTAAAGTTTAAAAAATTAATTAATGGTCGCCAGAGGCACACCAGTACGCAAGATGAATTGCAATGGCCAAACTTCATTCCCAAACCCGAATATTATTTATTTATTGATCTTTTTTGTTGTTGTCATTATTTCATTCAAATTGGTAAGCAATTTATATGCCGAATTGTCAGCCTGACTGTATTCATTTAAATGTCCACTGCGGGTTGAATAGGTTTCCTTTGTCAACATGCAAACACTTAATTTTTCCGATAAATCAAGGAAGTTGGCGTGCTAACAGTGCATCAATGCATCAGAGAGAATGTCATGCTCTATTGTGTTATTATTGTGAATTCTGTGTGCACTATATTAACAGCTCATATAAACGGTGTGTCCTTACCTGCACGTTGTCGCCAAAGCAAACAGCTCCGCCCATTCAATTAGTAGGATTAGCAGTCTCCTCCTTCCGTTTCTCCCTCGTCCTGTGGGAAGATACTTTGATAAATTGGTCCTGGCCATTTCAAATAGTCTCCTCACTAGCGTGGAATGGATTGTTATGATGAGTCAGGGTAATGTCACAAATGTAAATCCATGCACTGAATCTCTCTCAAACGGAGGAACTTTCAATAAGTCATCTGGGACAGCAAGAGAAGGGACACCATGACCTCTGGTGGTAGAACAAAATAACCTTTACATCCAATAACAAACCTGCTCTCTGCCAGAAAGTTGAAATGTTTATTTCACCAGGTTATAGGCCTAAACTGATCCTGATCAGCTGTAGAAACATGACTAAAAGGTCTGACTGTCAAATGTTACGTGCAAGCCTAAAGGTGATGCTTTTACTATCTAAATAAAGCATGATGATACATTTGAACTGCAGTTGAAATGATAAGAGTTGGTGACCATCACTAGCCTACATTGTAAAATTGGATATAGATGTATTTATGTGGTTGTAGGCAACAACAGGTCCTTGGATTATTGGTTATTTATGATTAAACTGTCAAATAAAGCCTATTTATAATTGTTTCAGGCAGTTTGGGATGCAAAAGTCCCTTCTTTCTGCAGCAAATTTGTTGCACATACCAAATTTATTTCTATTTCTAGGGCAAGCCAATGCACATATGCAGTCTGCCAGGGACAAAGGTAGTCTATAAAAAATGCTTAGTCTGATATTAATCACTCCCTATACAGCTAATGGCACGATGAATACCCCCATGCATCCACTCCTCGGCTGCTGACAGCCATATTGAACATCTCCACAATTAGCTGCATCAAGTATGCAACAGAAACTGAAAACAGGACAGGAAATTAGGCATGTTTCCTTCAAAGTAAACTTAAAACATGAATAACGGTTGGGGGAAACTATTTGGTTGTGCAGAAAAAAAGTCTTGCAACTTTACTTGCAGCCTTAACTTTGATTTAAATAACAAAGTGAAATTATTGTTATTTTTGTTCAGTTGTTTTGACATAATGATGCACCATTGTTGCATAATCTCTAAAGATACTTATATTTAACATTTGTTCTTTATAATTATTGTTTGTAGTTGAGACTATTAGATTAGTATGGTTATTATTATGATGTTAAAAGTCATTAAATTATTTTTTTCTTCTTCTCAAACTTTCAGGAGGCTTTTATTTTTTTAAGTTAAGACCGGAAGTCGTAGTATTCCGGCTAGCTCGACAGTGGCACCTTAAATCGCCTTAAGGTTGTTAAGACTTCAACGGTTTTTCTGCGGGAATTTGATACGCCAAAAACAACTCAGAGATAAGGAACAACGAACAGAACGAATTTCCCACCGTGGACATTTTGTTACGTGTAAAGACACCGGGCTTTTCCCATCAAATTTAAAGATATAATACTTCGTCCTGACGGTGAGTTGCCTCTCCCTAAAAGATGAGCTTCTCTTCCAAGTTTGGTGCAATAGCGGAAATCCTCGTGTTCACCCAATTTATGTTGTATACGACACGTTAGACAGGACGACTTGAACGAAGTTGTGCTCATTACACTGCCTGTAAAAGCTCCGTAGCTCGCCGTACGTAGCCACAATTTCTCGTTTTTTGTTGGTAAATGTGGTGAATTAATGATGACCAAACGTTTTTGTTTTTTTAGGCTGTAAAACTCCACATGTAGCAGTTAAGTTACGTTATGAGCGAGGAGAACCGTTATGTGGACTACACCCACTAACTAGCGTGAAAATGTCAGGCTTTCAACGGCCACCTTCTCACTTCATGAGGAGCATTTTGGAAAGAAGAGTCGTTTACCGCTGGCTAACAATTGTGTGTTTTTTACCTCGTGAAACACGTCTTTTTGACACGTCAAACGTATGTATTTAAATAGTTTCAGTTGTGGTGTGCCGCTTCCGCTAACGTTAACGTTTTTTTTAACAAGACTGTAACGGTTGTGGTCGACCGTCTGATACAAATCGTGGTTAAATTACAGTGTAACGGAAAGCCAACTATCGGCGGGTAAATACGCGAGCTAATTGCTCTCAAGCTACAAGTGGTCATGTCTCCATCTGAAGTAGCTAGGTGGGATTCATATAGCTATATAGTTTCATGAACATATGTGTGTGTGTGTGTGTGTGTGTGTATATATATGTGTATATATATGTGTACACATGTGATAAAGTAACTAAGACTGTCAACCAGTGACAGAAAGCCTCCCCTCTGATGCTGTTCCAGCAGGTTATGGTGTGTTATTGGTCTTTCATTTGCTTATTAGACCACTTTATAAGCGTTGAGGTTGTGACTCTGCACAATACCATAAGACCACGTTGTGTAGCATCCAGATCTGATTGATGCGACACGCTCTCATAACAAAAAAACTCTTGTTTTCCCTGGATCATTTCAGTATCCGATGGCAGTTCAACCCAGGTCATTACCTAACTTGCAGGCTTGTGTTTCAGCTCGTAACCCAGGCTGTGACATGTATAGCGTGGGATGATAAGTTGCAAGGTGAAATAGATTTTAAAATGTGTTTCTTTTGCTTTTTCAGGTCCTGTGATATAGGTGTTGTTGCCGTCCTGTGGCGGATTTTTCCTCTCAGCTGTCCGGTGTAAGGAGTAGAGGAAGCAAAGATGCCCAAACCGGTAAGAGGCCGAAAGGAGCGACATGAGAGTTGGCATCCAAATGTCAGCAGTTTTTAATCGTACTGTGTTCTACAGAGGTATAGAGAAATGCAGCGCTGATGGTAAGTATTTCATCCTAGTGGCTGCTCCCACTCCTCATACTCCTCTTCCAAGTAAACAACAGCCAGAGTGTTAAATGAAGTGCCAGACCCACAGGCCTTGCAACTGCAACACTGCTGCCATTGTTGCTTAAAGGGTGGAGTGAATGCCAGAGTCCTGGGATGTGAACAACACCAAAACAAAACCAATCTGATGCAGTCCCTTCATGGCTGTCCCACTGTTGTCCTGCTGCTTTTTCTTTCTAAAGACACTTGGGTAGAGCTCATGCATGAGTCTGTGACTATTGCAAGTTGTAAAACTTGTTTTCAATTAACAATAAGAGATTTTCAAATGGGCAATTGTCTCAGCCACTTGTTGCTCAAAGCTCTAAACGCATCTCCTGTCTGGCTCTTTGGTTGGTGGGTGTTTGTGGGGGGGTTGTGGTTTGGGAAGCTACAGAAAAGGAACAGCCAGGCACTGATGTCATCCTCCACTTCCCCCTCTTGTCCCGTGAGTCACCGGGGCACCATCCCAAAACAGCTCCTAGGACAGCGGAGGGCCGGCCGCTCGGCTCAGAGCGACATCTCTGTCACAGACCATATATTTATTTGATAGCCTGATTCATGTAAGTTTGGCCCAACACAACTTCATGGCCTGTGTGGTTGTGCAAGAGGCTGAGTAGTTAACATCGGTGGGCCGGGGGCAGGTTCATTAGGAGGTGGTAATATGTAGCACCCCACAGGAAGACTGCCCTCGTGGCTGTTTCCCCGTTTGCTGGAGAAGGGGCCCGTTGTGTACATCGGGGGCCCGGTCTATGTCAACATCCTGTCTCTGTGGAAGTACAGAAGCAAGGTGAAGAGAGAGGATTATCACCACAGCACTGAGGGACTGTCAGGACAGGAACGACTCAGATGGTTGAACATAACATTTGAGAATAATAGGAAATGGAGGGAGGGAGAAAAAGGTTCTGGGAATATGTTGTAGTGCTCAGGAGATACTCTGCAGGAATTGTAAGAGGTAGGAAACAGTGAGGGTTATTGGAAGGGAGGAGTTGGCTTCTTGGCACCGGGCAACATCAGCGCTCTGTTTGCCTGTTCACCTCATTTACAAATGTTTGGTCCCTAATCACTTTTCCTATTATCCCTCTAGTGTAGCTTGTAAAATCCCTGGAAGCTTTTCAGATCATTTTGCCTTCTTGTGTAAGGGATGCTTCACACACACCTTCCCTTCCCCCAAAGGATGAATGTTTGTAGGTAGGTAGCAGCCATTCCTCCTCCGCTACTTCTCTCCCCTCCTTTCCTCCTCCCCTCCGGAGCCTGCCTCACCCAGCAGGGGGGTTATCAGCGGGACAGACAGCTGCTCAGAGCCCAGCAGGCCAGATTAGCAACTCTACTGATTGTAGTGTGTGTGTGTGTGTGTGTGTGTGTCTCTCTCTTAAGGCCTCTCTCAGCAAAGCTCCTCTAAACTGCTTACAGTAACTTAAGAGCTGCACATTTAACAAGGGGCCCGTCTGAGTGAGAACTCGTCTTCCCAATTGAAATGGAGAGGGGGGTGGATTTAGAAACATTCTTAAAGGGCATCTAGAAAGACAAAACACAATGGGGAATGATGCAGCTACGGGTTTTGAGACTCATTGTCTTTGGCTTTTCATTTTTGATGGCCTCAGATGTTCACTTAAGAAATGCTACACACTACCCTTTTAAGTAAGTGGCGAGAGATAGGAGAAAAAGTTAGTGAGACCAATGTGATGTACTTTTCAGGAAATGCAGACACAAGATGCTGAGGTGTAAAGCATCTGTTACCAGATCTATATGAGCTGCAAACGTGTATTCAATCTGCTTGCAAACGTGAAAAATGTTGTCAGAGAAACTGAACTTTATTGGAAATGTGTGGTGCTGTCCCGTCAGTGTGTTTAGTACCACCAGACAGACTGTGTCATAGAAGGACAGGCTTACAAAAGTGGCTCCTATCGGAGTGTGTGATTAGCTGTGTCAGTGCCTCGGCATGTCGTTGTCCCTCTTCTCCTCCCCCATCTCTGGGATTAACTGGCCGTCTGGTCTACACAGGATTCCACCTCTCTGCTCTGTGGGTTGGCCATGTTTTGGCAGAGGCCCTCACACACACACATGCAGCACAAAGGTTGACTGTTTAACAGCTGATCGCTGGTGGCAGACGGGCCCCACATGCATGCAGGGCGAGGGTCATTCAGGGCCGGTCACTTTGAAACCCCAGCTCAGCACAACATTCTCCACAACGACTCGTATCTCAGAAAGTCAGTGAGGCAGCTAGTCTTAAAACCAACACACAGTCTTAATTCAATGTTTTGTTTCTGCACTTGAAAGAGTTGGATGATATGCTTCCCTAGTATTTAAAAAGTGTTGCCTTATTTGTTACAAGTTATATCATATTGTGCAGGACGTGCATGGTGTGAAAAGAGAGGGGCTTTCTATTTCTGATAGTTCCTCGTGGTTAAAAGTTGTCATCTGTTGTGCAAAGGCCAGCTGCAGCCTGCAGTTATATGTAATGATGAGTAGCAGAGTTGATTCATACTAATCCATCTGTTGTTTGTGGTTTAAAGTGGCAATCCTTAAGACAGCAGTCCTTATTACTATTTCTATTTGCGTGAAAACAATGGTATTGTGCTTAGAGTCTTGGGTCTTTTTTGATACATGGACTTCAGGTTGTCAGTAGTTCTAGTAGTAGTATTGTTTGTATGCAATAGAGAAAAAGTAATACTGCATTTTTTTTCTGGGAATGTTGCCACAGACATTTTTGTAATATTGCAAATCTGCATTTTATCAAAGGTAACCAGAGTCAATCTGTGTTTTTCTAGTGAGCAGTAGCTCATGTTCTATCATGTAACCATATCCTCAGCATCCTCATTGAAATGATGTTGACAGCGCAGTGTTAGAATAAGCAGCTGATGTTATTGGATGTCGGTGATCTAGACTCGCCTTCATAAAGCATCTCACAAAAACTAAACTAAGACTAAAAATTCTCCATCTCACATTTCTAAAGCTTACTACACTCTCTCAGCAGTATGTAGTGATGATGCATTTCCTGTATTGTGTATTGGAATATTTGGTTTTTGCAGAGCGGCACAATATTTTAGGCAGTCACTCTAAAACCCTACTCCACTCTTGTCCAACACACATTTCACATTCATTGCCTGAAAACCAATCCTTTTTGTGAATCCAGTTCTTTTTTCCTCCCCTGCAGATAACTGGCATACATTGCATTGTGGGTTGTTTTCCCAGACATGGACTAAGCCTAAAAATAAAGTACGTCTCTCTGTGGAATCTTCATTGGAAGACACATTGGCAACAGGCAAATAGATCTGGTCTCAAAGAGCACAAAACACAATAACTGCATCAACAGAAAATTGACCCTGACTGAAGGCAGAATATAATCATTTAGTCACTTCAGACTTAATCTTTTCCCGGGAAGCTGCCCACATTATTTTCCAAACAAAATACAGCTTGACCTTAAGCAGGTTAGCTTAGGAACATGTGGGGTTGGTCCCTTAAAATAATGTGATATAAATGGACTGTCGCACATTACAGTAGTAGTTTAGGCCACGCAGGAGTGTTCATGCGAGATGTCTATAGTGTGGAGAAAGTTTTCATGGGTAATTAATGAGCGGGAGGCAGAGGCAGATACATTGTGGTCTGAGTCCAGCTATGTGCTGTATAGACACAAGTTTCATGGATTATTCATCGCAGGGATATCCAGAGAAACGGAGAGGAATGAAGGCGGGAGAAGAAATACTGAGAGTAGAGGGAGAGAAATGCAAAGTCAGCTTTCCTGAGGTTTTGTGTCTAATTGCCCAGTGGCTCTTTTCCTCTGTTTTTTCTTCCCGTGTCTCTTTTCCTTTCCCTCCTGTTGTGTATAGTTGGCTCATCTACAGTAACCTCGCTGTAACTTAATCTCAAAGGGAGTACACTTCACAGATCATCTCTCTTGCTTCCTGTTGCTCTCTGTCTCATCTCATCTCATCTTGTTGTTGTTTTTTTCTGCACTCTTGCAAAACGTTTTGCATTCACACTCTCATTTTACCGTCTCGCCTTCTTCTGTACCGCGCACTTCTCTCTGTCTCTCTTCTTGGTGTGTGTGTGTGTGTGTGTGTGTGTGTGTGTGTGTGTGTGTGTGTGTG